TAAAATAAAATAAAACAATTTCCAAATAACATCCTTTGGGGAGAGACACTGGAAACTCTGGATATGGAATTATTACAAGAGATACAGACCCTGGGGCATGCAAAGCAGAGCAACTCCTGCACCCATTCAATGTGAATTTCTTTTCCTTGTACCTGAGCTTTGTAACCTGGGGCCTAGAGAAAATAGCTATGTGTTCTTCTGTGTGGATATGGCAAGAGCTCCCACAGGAAGACAAATGCTGAATGTTGCCCTGCTGGAAACTGTGGTTCCTGTCTGATTTATTTCTGAGTAGACTGATACTCAAAATAATCAAATTGTGGTCTATGTTATTATTGTGAGTATGAATGTTTAGTTGAGCCTAAGACCAATTCCTGGTAGGCATTGCAAAAGGCATCTGGGCTAGAATTGGGCAGGCTGTGCCACACGCTATGTTTTCAACAAGCGTAATGCCATAGGGATACATTGTCTACTTCCATAAGAATAAGCTTTTTTTTTTTTTAATAACACTGGCACATTTTTAGCTTTATTTGTGATGAAGTACAGTCATATGTTAATAGAAATCATAAACATAATCTAGAGTCCTGTTTTTTGGTCATAAGAGTCCAATTACTATAGTATCAACTCTATTCTCTAATAATTTCAATAGTACATTCCATAACCTAGATGAAATGTGTGAGTTTAAATGGGAGTGCTTCACTTTCTTAAATAATGGACAATCGTTTCACATTATGATTGTTAGAGTATAGCACAAAGCTGAATGATGCTACTTTTTTTTCTTTTCTTTACTTCCTGCCAGATGAAAAATCAAACTCACCTTAGCTGTCTTTCTCATTTTGAGTTTCTTCCTTAGATAATGTGTCAGTGTCTGAGGTGTCCACTTGCTGTTGCTCAGCAAAATTCCTTTTGACCATGGCTTCTGTGTGCCTGTGGATGATCTGATGAGCTGCAAGAATATGCTTCCGCTGTGCATTCCTCACTGTGCCAAAGTGACAGAACAATTTTTACTCTGAAAGTCTGAAGAAAATCATTCTCAAAGTTTCTCAAGAGGGTAGTGGTAGAAATGATAGTTTTGCATCATAATGCAAATTCATAATGCAAAGATCTTAAATGACCTAAAGGTAAGGTGTCTCATATTTCTCTTTGAGCCTTACTTCCTAATATGGAGGGTATCTGTTGATTGGTGAAGAGTTTCTGAGCACACAGCTTTAGAAGGTGATCCTAGTTCTATACTCTAAGAATGTTTATAACCAAGGCTTAGTATATTAAGCATCCCATTTCCCTTGAAAAGGGAGTGGTGGTGGTGATGATGATGATGATGATGATGACGACAACGATGATGTTGATGATGGTGGTGGTGATATTAGCAATTCAAATTTGTCCTTACTTTGTGCCAGGTACTATTTTAAGCAGTTGGCATATAATTATTCATTTAAACCACCCTATAACCCTGAAAAAGAATAATATTAATATCCCCATTTTCAGATGCGGGACCTGAAACATGAAGAGGTTAGGTAATTTGCCCAAAGTCATCCAGCTAGAAAAGGACAGTAAGAAGTACTGTGGATTGGATTCTGTGCTATTTAGGTATCAGCTAGTTTATGTAGGGTAAATCACACAGGAACTTAGAGCACTTCACAGTAGTATGGTCAAAAGTATGGGGACTTTGGAGCCACATAGACCATGTTTCAAATCTGCAAGTCATATAATGTCTCTAAGCACTAATTTTCTTAAATGAAAAATGAAAACATACCTACAGCTATTTTAAGAAATTGAGATGAAGTACTTTTAAAATTGCTTAGTGTATTGTCTGGAACTTAGGATGCATTTAAAATTTGGTAGTTACTGTTATTTTACATCTATATACAGGTCTCGTCAAGGTCTTTCCAATCCATTATCTTTAATAAAAAAAAAAACACGAGAGATTTCAAAACCGTCTGTATATAATATTATCTTAATTTGGGGTAAAGAGTATATATAATATATACACATGGTTCTCTTGTTTGAAAAGAGAAACAAAAGGTCCTGGTTTGTGCTTCCTGTCTGTATGTTTTTCTTGATTTGGTGTGCATACAAGGAAAGAGGTATGGACTTGCCCAGTTTGCCCACAGACAAGTCCCACTGGATTCCTTCAGCTCAACTTCCTCCTCCAGCTCCTTCCCCTCAGAATCAGGAGAAGCTGGGGGAGGTGGCGGGGGTGGGATGTCAACACACTACTTCCCCACTCCTTCAATTCCCTCAGGTGGAACTGATCTGAAGCAAGCTGATGTCACTTGGGACCTAGAAAAAGTAGAAAGGAGCTGCATATTTTCTTAAGGATCTGGGTAACACAAGATCCCTTTTATAATATAAGGTGACATAGAAATATTTATTATTTGATCTGAAAATTAAATTTTGTTGGTGTAGGCACTATCATACACTGTCGATGGGAATATAAATTGGAACACTCTTTTTCACGGTGGCAATTTGAATTTGGTAGTATCTATCAAAATGTAAGATGCACCTACCCTACTTCTAGCATTGCACTGCTAAGAATTTACTCTCAGAAGTATGACCAGGATATGTGTAAAACACCTTGATTGCAGCACCACTAGTTCCAGGAAAACACACTGGCGAGAAACTAAACACTTGTTAGAGGGTACTGGTTTAAAAATTACAGTACAATCATATAATGGGAAAATAAGATATTTCCTTGTTCTCTTGAAATGCATGAGAACTCTCTCATTTCTTTATCCCTGGTTAACTGATCTGAAATACTACACTTCTCTTAAACCTGTCTAGAATTCCTCTGCGTAACTGTGAAACCTTCTGAGATGTAATTCCATTTAAATATTTATCTTCTGGTTGTACCCCTCCCTCTGGGTTCAGGTCTGTCACCAACAGTCTGATAACTCCAGAAGAATACTCTTTTTCTTTAGACATATTTTTTATCCTTCTCTAATGACTAACAGCATCAATCTTCAAAAACACGTCACTTTTGCCAAATGACGAGGATATTTATACTTAGATACAGTCTTGGCAGAAATACGAGATATTTGTGACACAGGCAGAGCAGCAGAGTAGATTCCGGCATCCCAGCTTTTCGACACCCACCTTGCATGTGCCCTGTCTAAAAAGGCTGCTACAGTTTCAAAATCCTGCATATTCTCAACATTTGCTTTATGTTTTTTTTAAAAAATCAAATCACAAAATACATCTCTTCTGGGAACTTGGGAGCTTTCTCTTAAAAAAGGTTTGGATTTGGGTACTCTGTCAAACGTTATTAGAATTGTACCCCATCTACACCTCTGGGACAGTGAAAATAGTTCATATTTTAAAAAATATTCATAAAGTGAAGCATTTATAGTGGCTTACCTTTTTCTTTGACAAAGTCCTTTTGCACCTCTGGGATCAGGAAACTATAAACCAACTCGGCAACAATTTCCTCTGATTGAAGCTGAGTTCGACTGAAAAATAAACACATTAAACTATTTTCTTTGTTGCTTTACTTGAACTGCCTATTTAAGCTTAGATCTTCCTTGCTTATGTAAGGAACGCCACTGCTCAAATCCCACCTTCGCCTTTTCCTTGATTAAGTGATCCGAAATATTACATTCCTGGTGAGTTTGGTTAACACCATGAAAAAATCAAATTTGACCGTGTCCTTCATTTGCCCTGCTGCCACGAAGGGAATGTTAGAGATACAACCTATATATGGAAACCAAACATCATGGGGTGAAGTCCAAGTAATGTTTCACTTATGGATTCACATTCCTTTCATGCTTTGTGGCATTCTAAAAGTAAGTAATAATGAAAGTGATCCGGACTGCGCCAGATAGCTGAAAATTCTATTCCCAATTCTCCTACCAGACAAAAGTATAGGCATGTTAGCTTCTAAGGAGTTATACTGATAAAATAATGGACACTGAAGCATGGTGTCCCTGGTGGTAAAATCTTAAACTCTTAAAAAATACATATAAGTAACAGCAAGTGGGCTGTCCATTCTACCATCCATTCTCTTGGTACATACCGGCTTTCCATTTCATAAGCAATGTCATTGATTTTCTTAGCCATCCTCTCAATTTCCGCCCTGGCTTGTTCCTCTGCAGTATTCTCTTCGGTTTTCAGTATTATATTTTCCAGATAGGAAGTTATAGTACTTTGATGAACTTTCACCACCTGCAAAACCCCCAAATACCCCAGTTACTGGAAATAGGAAGGCCACTGTAAACAAATGTAAGAAAATGCACAAACATTGGTTGACTTTTTTTTTTTTTTTAGCACATCTTTTCCTTCATT